TTTGGCCTTGCCCAATCCACACATACACAGATCGCGATCCACACGCAGCTCCAAGTAGCTGAGCCACAGAAAATCAGCGACCTCTAGATGGCACTAGCCCCACTCACATGTGTGCATTCCATTGAGTACGGTTTCATGAATGTTACATTGTGTTTTCTTTGTTTCTTTTTAGGTTGGCTATTCTCCTCTGCCCCTAGAAATATAATAAAGATGTTTTATTGAACTTGTTCTAACTTAACTTGTCTTAAGACACAGAATAGCTTATATTAATTTTGCCAAGCAAGAACTTTGTGACGGTACCTTGGTTTTTTTTCTGTAATTCAACGGCACGTTGCCAGCAACTAACCCAGTTGATCAATATTGTTTTTCAAACATAGTGGTAGTAGCTGATCAACAGCAAACACAGTATTAAATGATCTATAAAATTAGAACAGATTTTCAAACAGAAACGTGTTAAGTAAATTGGTAAAATAAGCAGTCAAAAACAGTTGAAAGTTGGATTTGTATTATTTATATGTTCTTTTATAAACCTAATTTATAAGATTAATATACACCTATTATAAATGCGGATCAGTCTTAAGAACTGGAACCACTCTTAACTTGTAACCTTATTGCTGTGTAAAAACTTTTTTTTTATTCGCATAAAAAATAATTGAACCGAGAATAACATTGCTCGAGGATTGCACAAGACTTCTCCCTTCGACCTCAGCACGTCAGCAGCGGAGGAGGAGGCAAACGTATCATTCTTTTGTTTTGATTTAGCAATAAATGTGTTCATAAACATTTCTTATGCCAAACTGATAAATAATTGTAACAAACAAAGTTGATATTTCCATCAGGAGATGGCACACTGTCTGTCCTCTAACACTGTGCAATGCTGAAAATAACGACTCCCCCCATCCTTGAGAAGATGGTATGCGCGGTTCCTATGCGCTCTAGTCTGTTGTTCTCTCCTACAGTGAATCGTTTGCTTACTATGGATACTAACAGCAGTAGAAATAGTGACAGATCTCCAAATGCTTTCTAAATACCAAACAACGACCATGGCTGCTATAAGGAAAAACAAATCTCCTTTAATGACCGCTGCCGTAAGGTAATTATTATTTTCCGTCGTTTATTTTCGTGCCGGTTGTATGTTATTTTCGTGCACGATGTTTTTATTTCAAGCAGAAATGACCGTTGCTGAGGCTCAAGGGCCAACCGTCCGCGCGCGCGCTCCTCCTCCATCTAAAGACATCGTGTCAAAAGAAGAGATTTCCGTGTAATGAGATGCTAACATTACCAGTTGTTCAATAAAAATGTAATTTGCTAGCAGATAATTGTCGTTAAGCTAATTGTCGAGCGCCCCCGCCCACCCCTCAGCATGAACCCATTATTCTCGCTTGATTTCTGATCCCCTGAGACACTTCTCCCGTTTCCAAGATGGTGACAGCATGGGAAGACTGTAAACATCCGTTCGCCTGGGTTTTAGTTAAATATGAACTTCAAGATATAGATTTTGCTATGCCTTGAATGTAAAACGTCACATCAATCGTTTCTTTATTCGGTAATTCAATGGTAAATTCAGTATGACCGGTGATATTTGATTTAATTGTCGAGACCTATCTAATTTCATGCAAAATAATGTTTGTTTGTAATTACATCCATTTTAGTTACACGTATTGTATTGAATATACGTATATGAAAATAAATAAATAGTACAGTAATAAAAATCTTGATCTTGACGTTGTATCGCTGTAGTCTACATAAGCGTTGCCTTTATATGAGATTATGGCCAATGATGAATATGGTGGATTTGGGGGATGGAGGGAGGGCCATCATGTTTCTCACAAACATTCTCACATAAAAAAGCCTTTTTGTGGCCTCTTTTCAATAAAATATGGCCGTGGAGTCTTTGCACATTATTTGATAATATTAAATGAATAATTCACCCAAATATGAAAATTCTGTCATTATTCACTTTGTCAATCCACACTCCTACACTTTTGGTTTGTCTGTGGAACAGAAAATGAAATATTTTGAAGAATCCTCTCTCAGATTTTTCCAAACAACAGTTTATAGTAAATACTAAGTAGTGATCGACCGATATTGATATTTTATAACCGATACCGATACCAATTATTTGCGTGTTTATGTGCCCGATAACCGATATGCAGAACCGATATTTATTTACTGTTATAAAGTAAATAAATGACTGAGTGAAGTAAGTCCATACTTCACTTTGGTTTTTCCTTCTTTCAGTCATCTTAAAAAAAAATGTTAAATTTATGTTAAATAAATTTAATATTTAACATAAACATATTTAACATATTTAACATAAACTTTCATGTTAAATTTAATCTTCATATTACAATAAAAAAACATTTTATTTAAAGCATCAGCAGCAGCACTAATATTAACAATAAGCAAAATAAATGTAGAAGGTCTAATGTTTTCAAATGGAGAAAATAAATAAATAAAAGGAGTCATATCAACTTCATTTTAAACTACAGTTTTAGTAGCCCCTTTAATTCAGCACTTTTATTTCCAACATGCGCCCATTCATGGCTGCATATTATTTAATTCACGCAAAGTTACGTCTTTATTGGGACAGGATTTGACGGATTATTTTACGTGACTCCGTGAGTTCCTCTCTATTTCTTCGAGCACAGCTGCATAAACTGCATATCAGGCATTTATTTAATACATCTAATTTGTGCATTAATGGCTGTTATGTTAAATAAAGTTTAATAATTACAGTAAATCAAGTACCTGTGCACCGTTGTTGTTGTCTCCTCTCCCCTCAGACGCCGTGGTGCAATGGCGATCCTGCGCGCAATTCTCAAAACATCCACAAGATGGCGGCGTTTATCGGTGAATCCGATATTACAAAACCGATATCCGATTATTGTAAAATGCTTAAATATCGGGAAAAATATCGGCAAATCGATATATCGGTCGATCTCTAGTACTAAGTGACACCTTTCATAAACCAATTGCAAATGTTTTTATGAAAGTATAAAGTAAATATGAAATATACTCTACAAATATTAAATATCATTAAATATAAAGGTCCCGTATGAGCTGTATTCTTTTATTGTGCTTGTTTGTGTGTCCTTAGGCAGGCCTTGGTAAACTAGGGCAATTAAAAACAAATGACTATCATCCTCCTTTTTGTATTATACATGCATAAGTATTAACATTTATTTAATTAAAATTGAACCTACATTACTAACCCAAAATAATAAAAAACTATTAAACACTCTTTTATATCTGTGCCAACCATCAGAATTTTGAAACACTTTGAAACCAAGGTTTAAAACAGTATTACGTATTAAAGCCTCAATTTGTGAATTCATGTGACTTGGGGAGTTTGATACATGCTTTGAACCACTGATTTGAAAACAACCGATTTGTAAATAATGTTTTGAATTTTCATGAATCAGTGCTTCAAAAGCACCCATCATCACTAGTTACAGTACAAACAAGAACCCGTGGCATTTGGCCTTTTTTAATTTGTGCATGATTGCAAATGAAATTTCAGTACTCTGGTGTAGAAGATTATTAGTTAATAACGACTTAAATTTAAATCTAATCCTTACACAAATATACCACATGACTCCAGAACACTTGGAATATTGTGAATGAGTCATATAAACTACTTTTATGGTGTCCTTGGTGCCCCGGATCACTATTAAGTGTTCTTGTATGTAAAAGAGCTGCATAAAGAGTTGGACAGACGTTATGGTGAATAAATAATGACAGAATTTTCATTTTTGTGAACTTTCTCTGCACAAGTCTTATAAGGAGTCCTTCCTTCCTATTTCATGTAATGCAGGATTGTATTGTTTTGTTATTTTCTGAACCATGTTCAGTGAATGTAATGCAATGCCGTTCTTGCAGCTGCTCCCGCTTACGGCAGGTCCAGGCTCTGCTAAGGGATGATGTTAATACAGCTCCAGATGGCATCCTTTGCTCCCTGGGTGAGTTTATTAATCAATATCACCTGTGCTCTTTCACTCACATGATCTTTACTCCAAAGAGACAGGCTGAGATGACTTGCTCCAGTGAGCCACCTGTAAGTAATATGCTGTGTTTGATTTTTCAGGTATTGACAGCCGCTACAATGAAGGCTGCAGCGAGCTGGCTAGCTACCTTTTCTGCGGCTTGTATAAACACAACCATTTTGACATGGAACAGATCCCAGAGGACTTCCCAGAGGAAGTGCTGGATGGTACAACTATAATATATGCATTCATATTCACTAATAGGATTAAAAAGCTCTTTCATTTCAATCAGTTATTATTGGCTGGATTTAGCGTATTTGTTGTATTGATTGTATGTTTGCTTATTCCTAGATGTGATCATCCTTATTAAGGCAGAGTGTGTGCATCTGTACTGCAACCCAGTGAATTATGTGTACCTGCTTCCCTATGTATCTCACTGGAGGAATCTGCAGCTTCATTGTCTGACCGAGACAGAAGTAATGATCTACAGCACTGCTTTCATGATATCCACATCTCTACTTGGGATGCACCAATATTAAAATTCAAGCTGATACAATAGGCTGATAATTATTTTCATGTGAAGGCAGATATTAAAATATTATACTGTTTTGACTATATATAATATAAACAAAAGTTGTCTGTATGTCTAATAATGCAATAAAATATAAATGATAAAATATTTTACAAATATAAAAAAGTATGAATTTAAATTTTGCTAGAGATTACTTTTAACAGTGTTGTCAAATTATTTGTTTTCTTACATATTAACTTTAAGTGAGCATTAGATGACAGCAGAGAGAATCTAAATGTAAAAAAACCAAGTAAAAAACACTCATATTCATCTGATTACTATTTTTGTTGTTTTCTTTTCATTTCTGTCTCTCAGTATGAGGATGAAGAGGTTGCGGAGGAATTTAAAATCTCAAGTTTTGTGTCCATGGTTCAAGACTGCCGTTGCATTGGAATTCCCTACAGTTCACATGGTAAGCATGTGATACACTGATGAAGGCATTGCAAAAGCGCTGTACTTTTGACCATAATGTTTACGGTTGATTCATATTGTCCATAGGCCATGTTCAGAAGTTTGACATGTTCATGTTGGAGAAATGGCCCATCGTTCAGGCATTTGCCTTGGAAGGAATTGGGGCTGGAGTGTTTTTCACCATGAAATATAAGGTTGTATATTTATACTCCATGACCTTTACTTATACATGACTTATGGGTTATATACACATTTTGTAATAATCATGTTATATAAACAGGATTGATAATAGTGTAAATGCAAATAAACTAACATACCTGTTTTTATTGTGTTCTTCACCAAATTGTTTCTTGCATTTTATAGCTCACAGATGTAAGTCAGAGACTTTGGCAGGTCTACAGCAGATTGGACCCAGCGTCTCTGGACTCCCTTCTTAATGAGGTAAATCACTTGCATAGATTGCTAGTCAAATGCCCATGCACACATTTCTTTCTTATACAAGAGTGGATGTGATACTCTCTCACAGGATCTTCAGCTTTTCGAAAGACAGTGGAGCTGTCTGTTCTCCAGTATGGAAATCGAGAGTGCACTTTCCATGCAGGAACTGTCAGAGGCCCAAGTTGCAGAGGTGCTGTTTGTGATATTATCACTACCAAAATTTAAAGTGCAAATAAAATCAAAGATGGTTTATTAACTTTCAGATGACATCTAGGTTGCATGAGCTGGGAAATGTTAACTAATAGTTAAATAGCTATTTAGGCATTGTAGTTCTCCACAATTGACTGCAACCTCAATTTTACTCTGTTCTTGTATGGAACAGCCACTTAAATGGTCCCAATGGATAAAATCCATCTTTATTATTGTGGTTTCATGTTGGCTTTAACAGTCACTGAAAATAACATGTTGGGTATGATTCCTTGTGTGATGCTTAATCTCATTTTCTGTGTCTTTCAGCCTTTCAGAACATATTATTCGCATGGCCTTATTTCCAGCAATATCACAGACAAGAGGTATTTACATATGATACAGTAGCTCTTATTTCTAAGAAAGACATTCTGCAGGAATTATTTCTCTTTGTATGGCATGTAATGAATTTTACACTGTTTGTATGCCAGTAAAAGCAGGCAGCCATTTGTGTTGTTTGGGAGCCACTCTACTAAGGAAGATATGGAGAACTACTGTTTCACCTTCCCTTCTGAAGGCCACCAGGTTCGCAACACTGGCCCTGGTGGGGGTGTTGCCAAACACATGGTGAGAGCGCCACACAGCGGCATGATGACTGAGACCTCAACTTACATTAAATCCTCTACTTCCTTTATGTATTTTTCTACATAAAACAATTTAATATGTGTGTTTGTTATACCTCTCTCACAGCTGCTGCAATGTGTGGCTCCTAAAGGGCCACTAGCCTGTGCTCGAACCTATTTCTTTGGAAGCACACATGTCCCATACTTGGGTAAGTGTATCTCTAGGAAATGTTTTAATAAAATTTATTTTTAATTTCTCTGTCATAAGTTTAACTGTTTTTTTTAATCCGACAGGAAATGACAACATCCAGCAGAAGGGCACAGATCTCCAGTAAGTACACCAATCACTCTCTGTACTGTGTTTTGATGACTGGATTGGTATTAAAGGTAGATTGTTGTGTTGCCTGTTGTGTTGCAGGCTGCTTTCACATATCTACTCAGCTGTGGTTCAGTCTGTACTAGCAGGAATCAAATGTTTCTCCATCAACTCCAGTGCTAGTAAGGTAAGTAGTACACCAAAGGGGCCCTGTTTAGTAAAACTGTGATGAACATTAATCAGGGTGTCCGCGGGTCCTTAAAAAGTCTTAAAATGTCTTAAATAACGCTTTCCTAATATAAGGCCTTAAAAAGTCTTAAAATGTCTTAAATTCAAGCGCAGTCTGTTCTGATTGGCCAGCTGACCCAGTGCATTGTGATTGGCCGAACACCACAAGCACGTGTCGGAAATGTAACGCCCCTTACCATAATCGCGAGCGTCAGCTTTCAAAGTAAATATCAAGACAGTTAATAATGTTGTTAGTTTTACCATCAGTTCAAGCCCGAAAGGGCAACAGAGTCGCGTGACAGACACAGTGATGATGCAGTGCACAAGCCACGGTTAAGACAGCTGACGTGCTATGATTTCTGACACCCAGCTCACTCTCCTGTGATGTGACCCTGTTCCCCTCACACACACACACACACGACGCATTACTCTGCGCTGCGCAAAACTCCGCATTTGAACAGTCAATAGCAAATACTTAAACTAATAACAAAACATACTTACAGTCGCTGATTCAGAAGCGCCAGATTGTCATAGCAAAATATTACATGTATGTAATAAATGTGTATTTCCATTACAGGTTTAGGTCTTAAATTTCATATAAGGTGGTATTAAAAAGGTCTTAAAAAGTCTTAAATTTAACTTGTTCATGTCTGCAGAAACCCTGATTAATGTAGGGTTTACATTAAAAGTAAAGCTTATTTACAAATAAAATAAAAAGGCAACTTAAAGGGTTACTCCACCTCAAAATGAAAATTTTGTCATTAAGCACTTACCCCCATGTCGTTCCAAACCCGTAAAAGCTTCGTTCGTCTTCGGAACACAGCTCATATTCTCCAAAATGGCGCTACGGTGATGCGGAGAGACACAGAGGAGACGAATTGTTGAATAAAGTCATTATTTTTGTTTTCTTCGCGTACAAAAAGTATTCTCGTCGCTTCATAATGTTACGGTTGAACCACTGATGGCAGATGGACTATTCTGATGATGCTTTTCATACTTTTCTGGACCTTGACAGTGTAATTTACTTGGCAGTCTATGGGACAGTCACAAGCCTCCCGGTTTTCATCCAAAATATCTTAAATTGTGTTCCGAAGACAAACGAAGCTTTTACGGGTTTGGAACGACATGGGGGAAAGTGCTTAATGACAAAATTTTCATTTTGGGGTGGAGTATCCCTTTAAGATGGGAAAGGCAGCTTAAGAAGTAAATGTGGGTAAAAAGTTTCATTTCAGAAATAGCTTTCCGATAACTATAAGTATAATGTTTTAAAATCACAAAAGGTGTTTTCCCATTAGCAAAGTTTTATGGACAAAAAGGGGCCATTGTCCGGTGTAATGAAACATTAAGCGCAGTTCACACAGAAATCACTGTAAAACCAAGCAGCTTTCTTTTGGTCAGCATGAATTTGTCTGCGTGTGGAAACCCTCACAAATAATTCTAAATCATGTGGATTCCTATTAAATTGATTGGATTTTGCCTGAAATTTTGGTGAACAAAGGTAAATATGACAGCACCATACCAGAACTATAACGATAACCACACAGAGGAATTATTTATACATTTATATATGTACAAGGTATAGAAAGAATTTTGCTCAGGTTATCAATATAGAAAATTATGCTTTTTTTTTTTCAAGGCAAAGGATGTAGCCGAGCAAACGTTTCAGCTGGCCTTGGACAACTTTGGGTTGATTCAGTACAGGGGAGCGCTCAGGTATGCAATTCACACAGAAAGGGCCCAGAAGAAATCTGCATATTTTTTTCTATGACCCTTTCTAAGCTGATTTAGGGGTGAATTCTATGGAATTAATTTATTAAACAATGTCATAGAAAGGTGAAGTATGGTCAAATTATGCAACAATATTTATTAAACAAACACACAGGGGGTACAAAATGTATAGAACTGACAAATGTTCAAAATCTGTGGAAATCTCTGTAATTAGACAGTGGTTATTAAAAGTGAAGTTATATTTAGGTCTCACCATAGGACACATTTTGTGCATGCTTTGTGAATTGAGAATCTACTTTGTCTGTTTAATTCAGATCCAAAGCTGTGTTTAGCATACAGGCTGTCAACAATGAGGGAACGTGAGTTTCTAAGCACAGACACAGCTATTGCCCTTGACACATTATACTGCATTGTACATTTTCCACATTCTGTATTTCATAACTTGAAACAATCTTCCTTTACACAGAATCATTCCCCTCAGTGAGGAGGACAGTCGCTTTATGGTAAAAACTGTGAGTATAAAACTTTTCCATCCCAGCTGCGGCTTTTCATTTTACTGCAATTTGTATTAAATGGCTGACTCCACAGGCGTCCATGATGGTGCACGATATCCCAGATCTCCAGTGCGGAGGAAACCTGGGATCAGTAGTTTTCTCTGAGTCCTTTCTAGAGTCCAGCGTTTACATTCAGCAGAGAGGTAAAAATCCATTTTGTGAGAGTATTCAGTTGGAGGTTAATAGAGTACTAATTAATACTAAATAGTACATGTGAGATTGTAAGGCACCTCTTCTCCTGCAGATGGCGCTCTTTCCTCTGACAGCTGTTTCACTGTGCTCACTTCCTCAGTTCCTCGCCATGTCTGCTGGCTGGTATAGTGCACTCATTGTCTTTCTGCACGGTTGTGCCAAAATGTGCATTTCTTGTTAAAAACATGATCAATTATGGCAGAATAATATTTTAACAGTACAATTATGATTGATCACTTTGATTGAACGCTGAGTTAATTGATTTGTTGTTTTCTTTGTTATAGGTAGATGAGGCTGATGTGCGAATGTCTGAACAGGCTCAGCATCTGCTGAAGGTGAAGTTTTACAATGCGGTAGTTTGTACAAACCATTGAACCTCCTCCCTCATGCTGTATTAACTGTTATATATATATATGCTTTAAAACCTGTGTGTGTGAAAACAGGAAGAGGATGGTACGTGTTTGGGCATTCCTCTAACAGTGAGAGACTCTGCCTACATGTTCTCCAACAGCCTGCTGTCTACACCTGAGGAAGGTCAGATTTAATCTCTACTGGAAGGTCATGGTTTCAAGTACTCTTTGTGCATAGGCATTAATGTGTTTATTGTCCTGTAGGGAAACTGGTGTTTTTCTCTGAGGGTATCCTGTTTGTGCATCCTCGTCACGGCTCCATTACACTCTCTATGAGTCACATCAACACCATTAAGCTCTATGATGGGGTGAGCAATGCTCTCATTCATGATATATTTGGGGTCAGAATGATAAAAAAAAAAAAAAAAGAATTAATACTTTTATTCAATAGGGATGTATTAAATTGGTCAAAATTTTACAGTACATTTTTGTTTCAAATAAATGCTGTCATTAAACAGAACAACTTATGAACATTAATAAATAATAATTAAATTTCTTGAGTACCAAATCAGCATTTTAGAATGAATTCTGAAGGATCATGCGACACTCAAGACTGGAGTTGTAATTAATGGCTGCTGAAAATTCAGCTTTGCATCACATTAATCAATTACATTAAAAAAAATTTTTTTAACAGAAAACAGTTATTTTAAATTGTAAAAATGTCACAATTTTACTATGTTTTTGATGAGATTAATGCCTTGTTGAGTGTAAGAGACTTAAGAGAAGATGTTTTTAAAATAAATATATTTTAACCCAAAACTTTTAAAACAGTACTGTATATATCATCAATTTAGCTTTGTATGTAATGTTGTTTTCACAGGGCTCTCTGTCTGATGTTTCAATGCTGTTCATCAAGTATCAGACCTCTCTGCTTCCGCACCTTCCATTCCCTTTACACAGTGCTGATTTCTCTCTGGCTATCGCTCTGCTTCCCAGAACCAAGAGCTACAAAAGCTTCTATTCACAGGTGCTCACATGCACACACACACACACACATACTGTACATATGCAGGCGGAACATTTAGGTTTCTGTCGTCCTGCAGAGTTGTTGTATTCTGTTTAGTGTTTGGTTGTAAATGAGTTGTGATATGATTTGCAGGTCCTGCCAGCTTGGCGTAAGTCAGACTCTGGGTTGAGAGTGCAACACGTCCTCAATGATCAGCTGAGCCCTGAGCACAAGAGCATGTGAGTTAACACTTCATTCTGCATCAGCTCAGCCAACAGCATTCAGCCTGATTTGTTAAGATCTTATTGTGCTTGAGCCCCGAGGTATCATGATGTAGCACATAAATGTATCCCATGACATGTTTCCTCTCAGGTACTTCAGGCTGTTAAAGCTTCATGAGATACATACACCAGCGGCAAACAGCCACAGAGCTGTTCTGAAGACTGCTTATCCACAGCTGCCTGAGCAGGACAGGTAACACACACATACACACCTCCACCCCGTCCTAACTAGGGATGATGTGGCAGAATGTCAAGCGATAAATCTGTCTCTGTCTTGTTAATCTGAGTTTTTGACCTAACCAGCTATGACTATGACAAGCAATTGACAAGACATTTTGCCAGTTACTTGGTTTCTATCTGTCAGTAAGGTCAAAATTCTAAGCTATCTGTCAAAATTCTGAGCCCACTATTGAAAGTGGTGCTATCATGCTGAAAAATCAACAAATTGACGACAAACTGTCTTGTATATACAGCATATATTCCGATCGTCTTATTGGTTGCACTGACTTTGTTGCTTTGCTCATGGACATTGATGTCTGTCAAATTTTCTGCTCAGGTTCCTTCTGCATTTTGCCATCAGCAGTAGCGTGGGTGAAGAATCTGTCTGTAGCGACCACTTGTCTACTGTGTTTTCAGACACAGCACCTGAAAACATCAAACCTGAATCCAAGATAAAGGTGAAATGCATGTGTATAAATACAACACAGTCATACATAATCTATCTGACAAGTTATGCTGGAGGAAACAGAGCATATGAATAATAATAGATAAATGTGTTTGTGTGTGTAGGTGGTCCTCACTATCATTGCAGGCTTGCCAGGCAGTCATAAGGAGAATCTGTGTGATTTCTTGATGGAAGTGAATCAAAATAGCGCCAGGTGAGAGAATAATCAAAATGCCATGAACTTTATCTATGCTCATTACAAGTGTCACGTTGTCTTACATTTAATATTGGATGTGGCAGATTTCTGACTTCTGACCATAATGATTTTTGCTGTACTGCTATTGGAAGAACATTAAAACCAAATGGTAATTTGGAATATGTGTTCTACTGCATTTATCTAAATAGAAGGTTGGAAATTCTGACTTTCTGAGTTCAATGGAAAGCATCTTGAATGCTTGCGTGCTCATTACTGTCTTTTCATCCTTACACTCCAAAACTGAGGACTGTTTGATTGACAGGTGGGAGGTGTTTTGCCCTGCTCTGGAGGGCTCTGAGGAATTCAGTGCGTCACACCTTCAGCGGTTCCTGAGCAGCCTTCTGGCCAAACAGAGGGAGACGGATTTGAATTCAACCAGAGTTGTGCTGCTTATACCAGGGTAAGACAGACATGAACATTGAGTCTCAAAACCTTGAGGATCATGTTTATTTCAGCTGCTCACTACTGATGAATTTTACAGCATTGATGGACTTGAGGCGAATAACAATATGTTGCCTTCTTTAGAGCTGCTTATAGCTGAATTGAACTGTTTTCAGAATTGATGAGCTTTGCAGTTTTTGAACTGAATCAACATTAAACTGACTGAGCTGAATATTGACACTATTGTCATATTAGAGCTGCTTTACAAGATAATTTAAATTGGTCATATATTTAATAAAGTTTGCATCATTGATGCTGTTGTTGCTATGAAGCTGCTTGGAAACAATCAGTCTGTATTGTATAAAATAAAGCTGACTGGACTTGACTGTTCTGAGACATAGCCATCACATACAAGAATCAATTAAATGAAGTTTTTATGCTTACTGTATGTGTTGTAGGTACACCGATGTGCTAGATGTAATCCAGGCAATCACGGCTCATCCAGATCCACAAGTTCACAGCCAAGTGACAGTGGGTGCCATCTCAGCATGTGTCAACCCACTCACATCCTTCATCAAACACAGGCAAGAGTTTTTCCACATGACACAGTGTTTCCCCTAGGTTTATGCCTTGGAGGGCATATAAATAATTAAATATATTATAAATATTTAATTATTTATAATTAATTAATTTAATTATAAATTAATACTTTTATTAATTTATAAAAGTATAAATTAATACTTTTAATTTATTAAAACTTTAACAAAAATTACATGTTTAGGGCCCTATGAAATGTTTTATTTTTTCCAACCTTATGTTTTATTGTTACCAAATTCTGATTTAGCATGTCTAATTATTTGAAAGCATAAAAACAAGTTTCATTTATTCTTACAATAGCCTTATGATTTTTTGCTCAGAAATTCTGTGTTGTGTATTTACATTAAGGCATAAAATATTCATTTAATCCATCTTTTAAGTAATGAAAATTAAACAAATTAAATTTTTTGGAAAATAAAGGTCATTTAATATTACAATTAAAACATTGAAGAAATATTGTATGATTATTCCTTAAAAATAAGGTTTTAATAATTTTAGTAGTAGTAGTAGCAGCCTATTACGTAC